CTTCACTTGCACTTCACATTTTGTTTACTGTTAGGCTCCCGCACACCGCTACAAACCTTTTTATCGGCCGATAGTTTGGTCGGGCTTATAATCACGGCGAAGTTGTATGCAAGTCCGCATACCACAACGATTTTGTATCGGCCGATAAACAAGTTTGATGTGGGCTACCCAACTGCGTTCAAATCCAAAACTATCGGCCAACCAGGCTAACCATCGGCCGACTGCGATATCAGTATGAGCTCGTCGCAAGCGCGCACACCTTACCGATTGTTTAGTCGGTCGACTTGATCAATTTAGCGTCTGCCCAGAGTATTGGTGCAGTCGGCCGACTGTTATGCCCAGTGTGCGCACTCACCACAAACCCAACCAACTGTTTAGCTGGTGTAGTGTGCGCGCTCACAGCCAACCTGATCAAAATATCGGCCGATAAAAGGTTATAACGAGAGGGGTATACCTGCGATCGGCCTCAGAGTCTTCATGACACAGTTTCGAACAGTAAACCCGACTAAAATGATTTTAAAGACGTTATCACACAAAAAGCGAATAAGAAAAAAGAGTTATAAAACAATATTCCTCGCTGTCAGAGGATGAAGATTCAAATAACAATGATATATGATTGATGCACCATATATCCAAAAAGTGCGAAAGATAAAACGGAATTCAGGAAAAAGATATTGCAGTTAAAACCGAAGTATTGTTCATGAAAAAATTTCGAAAAACAAAGATTGTGGTTGTCGGAATGCAAAACACAAAAATTATAATGAAGTTAGCTAGAAAGAAAGAATATTTTGAGAAGTTTTGGGGTTTGCAGATTTTAACAAACAAAATGTATTACTTCGAAGCTGTTCAGAAACGAAGACGTTTTTTCTTCACCGAAAACATCTTGAATTATGTTGAATGGACTTGGGCATCTTCAAATTTTATAATGAATCTGGTTGCTAATTTTGAAAGTGGCCCAACTCCATTCTGATAAGGAAAAGCACGTTATTTTACTTAATAATTGCCACTATTTTAACAGGAACTTTAAATTTAACATCCTAAGATATGCTTAAGCAGTATGACTCCTTTGTATCTTTTATAGGTATATTTTTAAATCTATTGAAACGCAAACTTTCAATATCTCTGATTTGAAGATAATGAGCAGCTTTCAATTTCAAAATAAGCGGCTCATTTCCTTGGCAGTAATGCATCTGCACTTTGGTGTATAAAATATTTAGGTATTGATATTTTGTTTCAGTAAACTTTACGCTCTCTTGAAGCAATGCATTCGTACTTTGGTGTATAAAAATATTTAGGGTATTGATATTTTGTTTCTGTGCAAACTTGTATTTCTTGCCAGCAATGCATTCGTACTTTGCATAAAATATTTAGGCATTGATATTTGTTTCTGTGCAAACTTGTATTTTGAAGCAATGCATTCGTACTGGGTGTATAAATATATTTATGGTATTGATATTTTGTTTCTGTGCAAACTTGTATTTCTTGACAGCAATGCATTCCTACTTTGGTGTATAAAAATATTTTGGGGTATTGATATTTTGTTTCTGTGTAAACTTTTGTATTTCTTGGCAGTAATGCATTCCTACTTTGGTGTATAAAAATATTTAGGGTATTGATATTTTGTTTCTCTGCAAACTTGTATTTCTTACAATCAATGCATTCGTACTTTGGTGTATAAAAATATTTAGGGTATTGATATTTTGTTTCTGTGCAAACTTGTATTTCTTGACAGCAATGCATTCGTACTTTGGTGTATAAATATATTTATGGTATTGATATTTTGTTTCTGTGCAAACTTGTACTTTGGAAGCAATGACTGTACCTTGGTGTATAAAGTATTTAGGCATTGATATTTTGTTTCTGTGCAAACTTGTATTTCTGGAAGCAATGCATTCGGTACTTTGGTATAAAAATATTTCGGGTATTGATATTCTGTTTCTGTGCAAACTTGTATTTCTTGACAGCAATGCATTCGTACTTTGGTGTATAAAAATATTTAGGTATTGATATTTTGTTTCTGTGCAAACTTGTGTTTTGGAAGTAATGCATTCCTACTTTGCTGTATAAAAATATTTAGGCATTGATATTTTGTTTCTGTGCAAACTTGTATTTTGAAGCAATGCATCTGTACTTTTGGTGTATAAAATATTTAGGTATTGATATATTTTGTTTCTGTGCAAACTTGTATTTTGGAAGCAATGCATTCGTACTTTGGTGTATAAAAAATATTTAGGGCATTGATATTTTATTTCTGTGCAACTTGTATTTCTTGGCAGTAATGCATTGTACTTTTGTGTATAAAAATATTTAGGGCATTGATATTTTGTTTCTCTTGTAAAGTAAACTGTATTTCTTTTGGAAGCAATGCATTCGTACTTTGGTGTATAAAAAATATTTAGGCATTGATATTTTGTTTCTGTGCAACTTATTTCTTGGAAGCAAATGCATCTGTACTTTTGGTGTATAAAAATATTTAGTATTGATATTTTGTTTCTGTGCAAACTTGTATTTTTGGAAGCAATGTATCTGTACTTTTGGTGTATAAAATATTTAGGCATTGATATTTTGTTTCTGGTGCAAACTTGTATTTCTTGGAAGCAATGCATTCGTACTGTGTATAAAATATTTAGGGCATTGATATTTTCTGTTTCTTGTGCAAATCCTGTACTTTTGGAAGCAAATGCATTTGGGTACTTTGGTGTATAAAAAATATTTATAGGTATGATATTTTGTTTCTGTGCAAACTTGTATTTTTGGCAGTAATGCATTCGTGTACTTGGTGTATAAAATATTTAGGGTATTGATATTTTGTTTTCGTGCAAATCCTTGTATTTCTTGACAGCAATGCATTCGTACTTTGGTGTATAAAAATATTTAGGCGTATTGATATTTTGTTTCTGTGCAAACTTGTATTTTTGAAGCAATGCATTCTGTACTTTGGTGTATAAAATATTTAGGTATTGATATTTTGTTTCAGCAAACTTGTATTTCTTGGAAGCAATGTATCTGTACTTTATGTATAAAAATATTTTGGGGTATTGATATTTTGTTTCTGTGCAAACTTATGTTTCTTGGAAGCAATGCATTCGTACTTTGGTGTATAAAAATATTTTGGGGTATTGATATTTTGTTTCTGTGCAAACTTGTATTTTTGAAGCAATGGATTCGTACTTTTGGTGTATAAATATATTTATGGTATTGATATTCTGTTTCTGTGCAAACTTGTATTTCTTGCCAGCAATGCATTCGTACTTTGGTGTATAAATATATTTATGGTATTGATATTCTGTTTCTGTGCAAACTTGTATTTCTTGACAGCAATGCATTCGTACTTTGGTGTATAAATATATTTATGGTATTGATATTCTGTTTCTGTGCAAACTTGTATTTCTTGCCATCAATGCATTCGTACTTTGGTGTATAAAAATATTTAGGGTATTGATATTCTGTTTCTGTGCAAACTTGTATTTCTTGCCATCAATGCATTCGTACTTTGGTGTATAAAAATATTTAGGGTATTGATACAGTAGAGTCCGGTTTTAATGACATCGAAGGGAATTGACAAACACGTCATAATAAGCGGACGTCATACAAAGCGTTTTGTGAAATGAAAACTTTTCTACGTAAATAAGTACATATACATACATATTAAATCAAAATGAAAATTGCACGTAATTAGCACATTATAACACATACAAATGTATTTTTTTCTGCAAGCAAGCTGTAATTTTTGTCAGCTTTTGTTTTTTCATTTAATTATTTTTTTTATGATTTTCGAAGCCTCTTCGGTTTCAAAACATTTGAATTGAACGATTGCTTAACATTGTTCTTGCTTTTAAATACTGAGATTGTCGAATGACCCACGCCAAATTCATTTATGAGACATGAGTTAGATTCTCCATTTAATCTGCATATTATTGCAGCTTTCTCCTCAATTCGTAAATGCTTTTACGTCGTTGAGATGACATTTATTTCATACAGCAAACGAAAAACAATGCGTGACCTTCAAGCGTTAATTGCTCACTGAGATTCAAAACAAAAACGAGCCACGTGCCGAACGTCGTCGGGAATCAACGAATATTACCGGAGGTGTAAAGAATCATGTTGGTCATTATAACCGGACATAATCTATTAAAAATGGGTCATAATAAGCGACATGTCACTGTAAGGGAAGTCACTATATCCGACTTTTTTATAAAGAATTTTATATGAAAACCAAACTTCGTAGTGTAGTTACGTCATAATAACCGGTTGGTCAATATAAGCGGAGTCATAATAAACGGATTCTACTGTATTTTGTTTCTGTTTCTGAGCGGCACAAAATTTCTGCCTCGGGTACCCCGACGTGTGCGCGCCGGTACCCATCGCGTCTGCATGCCGGCGTGGCTGCGGCACAAAATTTCTGCCTCGGGTACCCCGACGTGTGCGCGCCGGTACCCATCGCGTCTGCATGCCGGCGTGGCTGCGGCACAAAATTTCTGCCGCGGGTACTCCCGGAATCGAGCTACACAGGGCATGCTAAATTTAGGACTGCGGGGATTAAATCGCAAAATCATGCTTAGGTTAAGCCGATTTTGAGGTCGAAAAATTGAGGAAAAAAAAATTCGCCGACAGGCGCCCACCGAAGGTGGGCCGTAAGCGGGGATCGGTTTCTGAAATTTTATAGCCCCTAAAAGCGAAA